TCTGAAAAGTTTAAATTTAAATGTTAAATCAACCGTTTTAAGCAGCTTTTTGTAAATAAGTTTATATAAGTGATATTTTTTCTTGTGTTTATAGCTGTAATTTTCTGTTACATGATGAGAAATGTAAAATACTGGCCCTGGTAGTGCTACAGCTAGCTGAATATAATTTTATGTAAATAGTGACTTGATGAGTCAGGACTCTGAAGGTGGGGGTCTTTGGACAGTTTCAGGGGGGCACAAAGTGTTCCCAGCATGAAGGTCACTGACGATGATGTCATTTATCATTCTTGTTTCTCATAAAATAAATGTCCAGACTTTTAAAAAAGATGCTTCATAGAAACAACACACAAACACACACACACACTCTAATACAGAGGCACATGCAGCTAAAACAGCTGTTGCACAGCCGAATGTTCTTTAGCTTCAGTCAGAACCACAGAAACCTGCCGCCTCACACACATTTACTTGTTTAGCTCCGGATCGATGCACCGGAGAGAACGAGGGGGGGCTCGCCACACTTTATTGACCCTCCTGGACCGTGCCATTGTTCGCCACGAGGAACTCAACGCTTATCTGAGAGGAAGAGGCGAGGCGCTGATTGTGGCCGRCTCCCACTCGGGTGGGATTCTAGAGTGGGAATCCATTATTAACAGAACAGCTGTTTTCAACATGAGCTGAAGAGACGGAGACGTCCCGATCTGAACGAAAATAAAGGCTGGAGATCAGGACGTTAGATCAAAACATGTTTTAGTTTGTTTTCTTCTGGTCTCAGCTTAAAGAGTTTAAATCTAAACAGTCTGAATCTTCATGCAGACTAGCCGTTAGCTCATCAGTCAGGGTCATTTAGGGAACAGGTGCTGAGACTTTTATACTTTCATAAATATTTACATTCATTTACCAACATTTTCAATTTAAAAATATTTTAAAATCTCTTCAATTCACTCAAATGTTTAGCTTCTAGCTACTATTTTCATACTTTCAGCTAGTGTTTTGCTTTTAGCTCCTAGTATCCCTATGCTACTTCTGGCTTTGATAACCCTTTGCTGCTTTCAAGCAAGTTTGTTTCTCTATTTAGCAGATATTTGTTGGTTTTAGCTAATATTTTGCTACATTTAGCTAGCTTTTTGCTTTGTTGAGCTTTATGTTTTGCTACTTTTAGTATTTAGGTAGAACTTTTTGATTGCTGTAGCTTTCGGCTAGGGTTTTGCTACTTCTCGTATATAGCTAGGTGTTTGCTGCTTTTAGTTTTTAGCTAATATTGTTGCTTCTTTTAGTATTTAGCTTTTTTCTCTAGATTTGATGTTACACTATTTCGCTAGGCTTTTATAGTTTTAGCTAATCTTACGCTACTTTTAGCTAATGTTTTGCTATTTTTAACAAACTTTTTGTTATGATTAGCTTCTAGCTTCTGCTTTTTTAAAGAAACTAAAAAACTGCAGGTACAAATTAACTCTGTTAGCTATTTTAAGTTTTATTGCTTTTAGCATGCAGCTAGTTTCATGTTGCGTGTACATAAYGCTTTTCTAACTTTTAATAATAAGCTAACTTTTTGTTTTTTAGSTTTTAGCTCATATTCTGCTATTTTTCCTCAGTTTCAGCTTCTCCTCATTGTATTTTTTTTACAGAAAATAGTATTTTTCCAGCTGTTTTAAAATATCTGAAATATCTCTTTAAGACTGAAGTTTTGTGAGTTTGTTTTTAAGGTTTTTAAGTCTTTAGTTTATCTAAATAGGCTTAAGGAGGAGCTGAGGAGTGATAAGATGTTTGAAGAGAAGCACCCTGAGGG